CCAGAGAGTATGTTACATGACCAGAGAGTATGCTACATGACCAGAGAGTATATCACATGACCAGAGAGTATGTCACATGACCAGAGAGTATGTTACGTGACCAGAGAGTATGCTACATGACCAGAGAGTATGTTACATGACCAGAGAGTATATCACATGACCAGAGAGTATGTTACATGACCAGAGAGTATGCTACATGACCAGAGAGTATATCACATGACCAGAGAGTATGTTACATGACCAGAGAGTATGCTACATGACCAGAGAGTATATCACATGACCAGAGAGTATGTTACATGACCAGAGAGTATGTTACATGACCAGAGAGTATATCACATGACCAGAGAGTATGTTACATGACCAGAGAGTATATCACATGACCAGAGAGTATGTTACATGACCAGAGAGTATGTTACATGACCAGAGAGTATGCTACATGACCAGAGAGTATATCACATGACCAGAGAGTATGTTACATGACCAGAGAGTATGCTACATGACCAGAGAGTATATCACATGACCAGAGAGTATGTTACATGACCAGAGAGTATGTTACATAACCAGAGAGTATGTTACATGACCAGAGAGTATGTTACATGACCAGAGAGCATGCTACATGACCAGAGAGTATGTTACATGACCAGAGAGTATATCACATGACCAGAGAGTATGTTACATGACCAGAGAGTATGTTACATGACCAGAGAGTATGCTACATGACCAGAGAGTATATCACATGACCAGAGAGTATGTTACATGACCAGAGAGTATGTTACATGACCAGAGAGTATGCTACATGACCAGAGAGTATATCACATGACCAGAGAGTATGTTACATGACCAGAGAGTATGTTACATGACCAGAGAGTATGTTACATGACCAGAGAGTATGTTACATGACCAGAGAGTATGCTACATGACCAGAGAGTATATCACATGACCAGAGAGTATGTTACATGACCAGAGAGTATGTTACATGACCAGAGAGTATGTCATACCATGACCAGAGAGTATGTACATGACCAGAGAGTATGTTACATGACCAGAGAGTATGAGACATGACGACAGAGAGTATGTTACATGACCAGAGAGTATGTTACATGACCAGAGAGTATGTTACATGACCAGAGAGTATGTTACATGACCAGAGAGTATGTTACATGACCAGAGAGTATGTTACATGACCAGAGAGTATGTTACATGACCAGAGAGTATGTACATGACCAGAGAGTATGTTACATGACCAGAGAGTATGTTACATGACCAGAGAGTATGTTACATGACCAGAGAGTATGTTACATGACCAGAGAGTATGTTACATGACCAGAGAGTATGTTACATGACCAGAGAGTATGTTACATGACCAGAGAGTATGTTACATGACCAGAGAGTATGTTACATGACCAGAGAGTATGTTACATGACCAGAGAGTATGTACATGACCAGAGAGTATGTACATGACCAGAGAGTATGTTACATGACCAGAGAGTATGTACTACATGACCAGAGAGTATGTTACATGACCAGAGAGTATGTTACATGACCAGAGAGTATGTTACATGACCAGAGAGTATGTTACATGACCAGAGAGTATGTTACATGACCAGAGAGTATGTTACATGACCAGAGAGTATGTTACATGACCAGAGAGTATGTTACATGACCAGAGAGTATGTTACATGACCAGAGAGTATGTTACATGACCAGAGAGTATGTTACATGACCAGAGAGTATGTTACATGACCAGAGAGTATGTTACATGACCAGAGAGTATGTTACATGACCAGAGAGTATGTACATACCAGAGAGTATGCTACATGACCAGAGAGTATATCACATGACCAGAGAGTATGTTACATGACCAGAGAGTATGTTACATGACCAGAGAGTATGCTACATGACCAGAGAGTATATCACATGACCAGAGAGTATGTTACATGACCAGAGAGTATGTTACATGACCAGAGAGTATGCTACATGACCAGAGAGTATATCACATGACCAGAGAGTATGTTACATGACCAGAGAGTATGTTACATGACCAGAGAGTATGTTACATGACCAGAGAGTATGTTACATGACCAGAGAGTATGTTACATGACCAGAGAGTATGTACATGACCAGAGAGTATGTTACATGACCAGAGAGTATGTTACATGACCAGAGAGTATGTTACATGACCAGAGAGTATGTTACATGACCAGAGAGTATGTTACATGACCAGAGAGTATGTTACATGACCAGAGAGTATGTTACATGACCAGAGAGTATGTACAACCATGACATGACCAGAGAGTATGTTACATGACCAGAGAGTATGTTACATGACCAGAGAGTATGTTACATGACCAGAGAGTATGTACATGACCAGAGAGTATATCACATGACCAGAGAGTATGTTACATGACCAGAGAGTATGCTACATGACCAGAGAGTATATCACATGACCAGAGAGTATGTTACATGACCAGAGAGTATGTTACATGACCAGAGAGTATGTTACATGACCAGAGAGTATGTTACATGACCAGAGAGTATGTTACATGACCAGAGAGTATGTTACATGACCAGAGAGTATATCACATGACCAGAGAGTATGTTACATGACCAGAGAGTAGTTACATGACCAGAGAGTATGCTACATGACCAGAGAGTATATCACATGACCAGAGAGTATGTTACATGACCAGAGAGTATGTTACATGACCAGAGAGTATGTTACATGACCAGAGAGTATGTTACATGACCAGAGAGTATGTTACATGACCAGAGAGTATGTTACATGACCAGAGAGTATGTTACATGACCAGAGAGTATGCTACATGACCAGAGAGTATATCACATGACCAGAGAGTATGTTACATGACCAGAGAGTATGTTACATGACCAGAGAGTATGCTACATGACCAGAGAGTATATCACATGACCAGAGAGTATGTTACATGACCAGAGAGTATGTTACATGACCAGAGAGTATGTTACATGACCAGAGAGTATGTTACATGACCAGAGAGTATGTTACATGACCAGAGAGTATGTTACATGACCAGAGAGTATGTTACATGACCAGAGAGTATGTTACATGACCAGAGAGTATGTTACATGACCAGAGAGTATGTTACATGACCAGAGAGTATGTTACATGACCAGAGAGTATGTTACATGACCAGAGAGTATGTTACATGACCAGAGAGTATGTTACATGACCAGAGAGTATGTTACATGACCAGAGAGTATGTTACATGACCAGAGAGTATGTTACATGACCAGAGAGTATGTTACATGACCAGAGAGTATGTTCACATGACCAGAGAGTATGTTACATGACCAGAGAGTATGTTACGTGACCAGAGAGTATGTTACATGACCAGAGAGTATGTACATGACCAGAGAGTATGTTACATGACCAGAGAGTATGTTACATGACCAGAGAGTATGTTACATGACCAGAGAGTATGTTACATGACCAGAGAGTATGTACATGACCAGAGAGTATATCACATGACCAGAGAGTATGTTACATGACCAGAGAGTATGTTACATGACCAGAGAGTATGTTACATGACCAGAGAGTATGTACATGACCAGAGAGAGTATGTTACATGAGACCAACAGAGAGTATGTTACATGACCAGAGAGTATGTTACATGACCAGAGAGTATGCTACATGACCAGAGAGTATGCTACATGACCAGAGAGTATATCACATGACCAGAGAGTATGTTACATGACCAGAGAGTATGTTACATGACCAGAGAGTATGTTACATGACCAGAGAGTATATCACATGACCAGAGAGTATGTTACATGACCAGAGAGTATGTTACATGACCAGAGAGTATGTTACATGACCAGAGAGTATGACATGACCAGAGAGTATATCACATGACCAGAGAGTATGTTACATGACCAGAGAGTATGTTACATGACCAGAGAGTATGCACATGACCAGAGAGTATGTTCACATGACCAGAGAGTATGTTACATGACCAGAGAGTATATCACATGACCAGAGAGTATGTTACATGACCAGAGAGTATGTTACATGACCAGAGAGTATGTTACATGACCAGAGAGTATATCACATGACCAGAGAGTATGTTACATGACCAGAGAGTATGTTACATGACCAGAGAGTATGTTACATGACCAGAGAGTATGCTACATGACCAGAGAGTATGCTACATGACCAGAGAGTATGTACATGACAAGGTCACATGACCAGAGAGTATGTTACATGACCAGAGAGTATGCTACAGAGACCAGAGAGTATGCTACATGACCAGAGAGTATATCACATGACCAGAGAGTATGTTACATGACCAGAGAGTATGCTACATGACCAGAGAGTATGTTACATGACCAGAGAGTATATCACATGACCAGAGAGTATTTTACATGACCAGAGAGTATGTTACGTGACCAGAGAGTATGCTACATGACCAGAGAGTATATCACATGACCAGAGAGTATGTTACATGACCAGAGAGTATGCTACATGACCAGAGAGTATGTTACATGACCAGAGAGTATATCACATGACCAGAGAGTATGCTACATGACCAGAGAGTATGCTACATGACCAGAGAGTATGCTACATGACCAGAGAGTATATCACATGACCAGAGAGTATATCACATGACCAGAGAGTATGTTACATGACCAAAGAGTATGACACATGACCAGAGAGTATGTTACATGACCAGAGAGTATATCACATGACCAGAGAGTATGTTACATGATCAGGTTATAGTTGTTCTTAACTGTTCTGCACACACTAAAATCCCTACAAAATCTGACCTTTATGAAAGCTGTAGGTTCTCTGTCAGGTTCTCTGTAGGTTCTCTGTAGGTTCTCTGTCAGGTTCTCTGTCAGGTTCTCTGTCAGGTTCTCTGTAGGTTCTCTGTAGGTTCTCTGTCAGGTTCTCTGTAGGTTCTCTGTAGGTTCTCTGTCAGGTTCTCTGTCAGGTTCTCTGTCAGGTTCTCTGTCAGGTTCTCTGTCAGGTTCTCTGTCAGGTTCTCTGTCAAGTTCTCTGTAGGTTCTCTGTCAGGTTCTCTGTAGGTTCTCTGTCAGGTTCACTGTCAGGTTCTCTGTGGGTAAGTAAGTAAGTAATATTTATTTATATACTGCCTTTCACAGACCAGAGTCACAAAGCGGTTTACAATTGTTATTTTTTTGGGCATTTTTTTTAGCTATAAGCTAGTAATACCCTATCCAGTTATTATTATAGATCCATGGTTAGCATTGGCTAATTCTTATTCCGGGTCCGCCCCCATCGGCCCGGGGTGGTATTGCAGCATGTCAGAGCCCTCACTGAACAAAACTAGTTATTCATTTGGGCAAGTATCAATTCTAAAATATTTACATACAGAGAGAAAGCGGGTTATGATCTGTTATATGTAACTATCCATACAAAGTATAACCAAATAAATTGATTGGATTTATACAGCGCTTTTTGGACACTCAAAGACACTTCACATGGATTTTACGCCATACATGTCGGTGATAAACTACAACTGTAGCCACAGCTGCCCTGGGGCACACTGACAGAAGCCCCTCCCACCACCACCAACCATTCACACACACACCAGACTCATTCTAATGTGGGGGAAGTGTCTTGCCTAAGGACACAACCACAGTTTGGCACTTTACAGCCGCCCCACTGTGGCACCTGCTGTTCTCAAAGGTCTCCCATCGCAGCACTAACCAGGCCCTGCTCTGCTTAGCTTTAGAGGTTGGGGATAATCCCTATCAGTGGTCCCCAACCTTTGTCTGAGCATGACCCACACATCCACTGTGTTATAAGTCAGGATTAAATAATTATTAATATGATGATGTAGTTTGATAGACGACTGAGTCATGTTGTAAATGTCATGAGGACTTGGTTCAGAAGGTCATGTGTTCATATCTGCACTAATCTGGTGACATTTACATGTTTAAAACACATGTTTACTATATTCATACTGAGTCTTCCTCAGTATATAGTGTCTTCATATAGTTGTATTTCATTAAACAGTGTTTTAATTGTTGGAACCTGCTGTGGCCATTCAGACCTGAGTGTGTGTGTGTGTGTGTGTGTGTGTGTGTGTGTGTGTGTGTGTGTGTGGGAGACTAATCTGCACACATGACTGCTGCATGGATCTGCTTCAGTCTCCTTTGTAAAAACACGTCTGCTCCTCCTCACACCTCCATCTCCGGTGTTTTTCTGACAGCCGCAGATACAATAATATATTTCATCGAGATTACACCACTTCAACTACAAACACATTAGAAAACCTGCCATCTTCAGCCTCTCGCTGTGAGATACAAGAGACACGTGTGAAATGGTGATGCACATGGAATATGTTTAAATCCAAACACGAGAGATTCTGTCCCAGGATGTTAGCGCGAGAACAAGTCTCTGGACTAAAGTGGGTCCAAAGAAGACCACAGGAGGGACAGGACAACCCCAGGCTCTCTGCAGACCAGACCCAGGCTCTCTGCAGGACAGACCCAGGCTCTCTGCAGGACAGACCCAGGCTCTCTGCAGGACAGACCCAGGCTCTCTGCAGGCCAGACCAAGGCTCTCTGCAGGACAGACCCAGGCTCTCTGCAGGACAGACCCAGGCTCTCTGCAGGCCAGACCAAGGCTCTCTGCAGGACAGACCCAGGCTCTCTGCAGGACAGACCCAGGCTCTCTGCAGGCCAGACCAAGGCTCTCTGCAGGACAGACCCAGGCTCTCTGCAGGACAGACCCAGGCTCTCTGCAGGCCAGACCAAGGCTCTCTGCAGGACAGACCCAGGCTCTCTGCAGGACAGACCCAGGCTCTCTGCAGGCCAGACCAAGGCTCTCTGCAGGACAGACCCAGGCTCTCTGCAGGCCAGACCAGGCTCTCTGCAGGACAGACCCAGGCTCTCTGCAGGACAGACCCAGGCTCTCTGCAGGACAGACCCAGGCTCTCTGCAGGCCAGACCAAGGCTCTCTGCAGGACAGACCCAGGCTCTCTGCAGGACAGACCCAGGCTCTCTGCAGGACAGACCCAGGCTCTCTGCAGGACAGACCCAGGCTCTCTGCAGGCCAGACCCAGGCTCTCTGCAGGACAGACCCAGGCTCTCTGCAGGCCAGACCCAGGCTTTCTACAGGCCAGACCCAGGCTCTCTGCAGGACAGACCCAGGCTCTCTGCAGGCCAGACCCAGGCTCTCTGCAGGCCAGACCCAGGCTTTCTACAGGCCAGACCCAGGCTCTCTGCAGGCCAGACCCAGGCTTTCTACAGGCCAGACCCAGGCTCTCTGCAGGACAGACCCAGGCTCTCTACAGGACAACCCCAGGCTCTCTGCAGGCCAGACCCAGGCTCTCTGCAGGCCAGACCCAGGCTCTCTACAGGACAACCCCAGGCTCTCTACAGGACAACCCCAGGCTCTCTGCAGGACAACACCATCAGACCCTACACCATCAGACCCTACACCATCAGACCCTACACCATCAGACCTACACCATCAGACAACGACAGCACACATAAGTGGTAGAAAATCCTCCTGTTGTCCTTTAACCAAGAGTGAACCTACAGTTGTATTCACAGCTAAACAGAACTGTTTAAACCTGGATTTGAACATTGTCAGAGGAGAAGCCAGTCTCACATATTCAGGAAGACTGTTCCAGGTTTTAGCTTCATAAATCTGAAAGCAGGAGGCCAGTCCCTGTGCTCCTCTGAGACCCAACAGGAGGCCAGTCCCTGTGCTCCTCTGAGACCCAACAGGAGGCCAGTCCCTGTGCTCCTCTGAGACCCAACAGGAGGCCAGTCCCTGTGCTCCTCTGAGACCCAACAGGAGGCCAGTCCCTGTGCTCCTCTGAGACCCAGCAGGAGGCCAGTCCCTGTGCTCCTCAGTCTGAGCTGGTTCAGTCTGAATCACAGGTTCCGTTCACTCTTGTCAAACAGTTATGAGTCTGATTTCTGTCATTATTGTCTTTGTAAACTAGTGAAGAACCTTTAGTCCAGGGGTGCTCAATGCGTCAATCGCAATCTACCAGTCGATCGCAAAGGTAGTATTGATAGACCGCATTACATTAAAACATTTTTATCCGTTCATGCATTTGCGTGTAGACAGAGATAACCGGAGTTTTGCGTTTTCTCACGCCACAGCAGGCACCAAAACAACAACAAACAAAACATGCAACCTCTGATCACTGAAGAAGGATCTTACTGCCTTAAAAACTGTTCACTGCAGCGAACATCCTCCACATCAGAGAGCAGCCAAGTGATCACAGGGACAAACGCTCGGAAACAACCAACACAGGAGCTAAACCAGGACCAAACCAGGACCAAACCAGGACCAAACCAGGACCAAACCAGGACCAAACCAGGACCAAACCAGGACCAAACCAGGACCAAACCAGGACCAAACCAGGACCAAACCAGGACCAAACCAAGACCAAACCAGGACCAAACCAGGACCAAACCAGGACCAAACCAGGACCAAACCAGGGCTGAGGGTCAGTGCTTGTGAACATCTGTCTTTACCCTGGATCTATAATAATGTCTTCACCCTGAGTTTCTACTATGACTGTAAGTGCCGCTACAGAAGCACCGGCGTCTGCATCTAAGCTCCGCCCACTTCTGTGTTTTTCACCGACGCAGGACGTCAGAGACGCACGTGTTTGAATGTTATGAATGTGATTGAAAACTCAGATGTTCGGTAATGTGTGGATGCATGAACATCAACATACACTGTAGATATAAAGAATCTCAATATATTTAGAAATAAATATATGTTTTGCATTTTTGTAGAAGGTCATTGTGACTTGATCATTTTATAAGTAGCTCGCATGCTGCAAAAGTCTGAGCACCCCTGATTTAGTCGTTCCAGAGATTTGAACAAAACAGTTTAACAATTCTGTAGCAGAACTATAACAAAACATGCAACACACTCAGCCACACTATAGACACACTATAGACACACACTCAGCCACACTATAGACACACACTATAGACACACACTCAGCCACACTATAGACACACACTACAGACACACACTCAGCCACACTATAGACACACACTATAGACACACACTCAGCCACACTATAGACACACACTATAGACACACACTCAGCCACACTATAGTAACACACTATAGACACATACTCAGCCACACTATAGACACACACTACAGACACACACTCAGCCACACTATCGACACACACTATAGACACACACTCAGCCACACTATAGACACACACTATAGACACACACTCAGCCACACTATAGACACACACTATAGACACACACTCAGCCCCACTATAGATACACACTATAGACACACACTCAGCCACACTATAGACACACACTATAGATACACACTATAGACACACACTCAGCCACACTATAGACACACACTATAGACACACACTCAGCCACACTATAGATACACACTCAGCCACACTATAGACACACACTACCGACACACACTCAGCCACACTATAGACACACACTATAGACACACCCTCTGCCACACTATAGACACACACTCAGCCACACTATAGACACACACTATAGACACACACTCAGCCACACTATAGACACACTATAGACACACACTCAGCCACACTATAGACACACACTCAGCCACACTATAGACACACACTCAGCCACACTATAGACACACACTCAGCCACACTATAGACACACACTCAGCCACACTATAGACACACACTCAGCCACACTATAGACACACACTCAGCCACACTATAGACACACACTCAGCCACACTATAGACACACACTCAGCCACACTATAGACACACACTCAGCCACACTGCCTCTGCTCCAGGTGTGAGTGAATTAATAATGACTGAAGTGCACTTTCAGAGATACAAATGTAACAGTTGTATTAATAAATCACTTTAATGCAACATTTACACAAACCTCTCACATGTTATAACTGTCTGTATGTCAACGCACAAACATACATTACAACACAAACCTCTCACATGTTATAACTGTCTGTATGTCAACGCACAAACATACATTACAACACAAACCTCTCACACGTCATAACTGTCTGTATGTCAACGCACAAACATACAACAGTCTACATACTGTACATATCTTATGCAATCAAGACACACACTGCTCTCTCAGCGGTGGCCAGAGCAGAGTGTGTGTGTGAGAGTGTGTGTCTGTGTGTGTGTGAGAGTGTGTGTCTGTGTGTGTGTGTGTGTCTGTGTAAACTCCATATAAAAATAGCTAATAACGTTCCCTACATCTCCAGCATTACTCACTCCACACTCCCACACGCAGACGCCATTGCACTGTACGGAGATTAGCACAGACTCTGGCATACACGCACGCACACATTGACACACACACACACACACACACACACACACAGAGTAAAGCTGCACCATCCCGTTAGAATCAAAGGCTGGGATTAATCATTCTCTTTAGTACAAACAGAAAGACCACAATCAGAGCCTTCTCCGTCTCTGAGCCCTTCCCCCGACACCAAACCGACACAGATCTGTTCACTGTCAGGAGAAAGTGCAACACTGGGAAGAGTCAGGACGAAGGGGAATTGGAAACCTCTTGTGTAATAACTGTGGTGTACGTTAGTGAAAGACGACCATGGGACATGTCCTGAATCTGCTGCAGAGTCAAAGGAACTGATTTTGTTCAAATAAATCTGGGAAATTAAACCACATTTTTATTAAGATTTTGTATGGATGCCTTTATATCTATTCTTTTACTTTGGTCTAACTTGTTTCCACTATATGCCCAAGCAGGTTCCTAATCACTGACTTCCTGTTACTTACAATGACAATACAAATACTTCTGATTCTGAATCTAAAGTTATGCTTTTTCGTTTCTAAGGCATTCTGTCAATCCCAGAATGTGTCTGAACAAATCAAAACACAACAGGCCGTTTTTGAGGTTCCAGCTTTATCATCTGCAAATACCAACAGTAAAATAGACCTGATGCCAAGAAAGCATTATACGTTGGCTGCAACATGAATCATAATCAAATCAAAACTGCACTTTTTATGGTCAAACAAATCTCAAAGACTGAAATTATTAAGTTTATTTAGTACTTTCTGTCTTTTCAAAGGGAAGTCTCACAGAACAGCAGCTAATAACCTCTTCTTGGACTTGTGCAAATTTGATAAAAAATGGACCCATAAACTAAATAACGTATAGGATTGTCCACGGCCGTGACAGTGAAGTTCCTCATATTCTGAAACAAACACATACAAAACAAATCTAAATATTGTTCAGAGAAATCTCATCCTACAGCAGTGAATGTAAGCTGTGGTTATTACTTCTATAAGAAGTGCCACTCTGCACGTCTGGAGACAACAGAGTCTAAAGCAGTGAATCCAAACTCAGACAAGAGCAGAACTAAACTTAGAATAATGAATATAGAAAATAAATCAGATTTGATCAGAGGTCGTCTCTTTGCCTCGACACGTGACCCTCCCCCTCCACATGCTCCACACGTCTCCTTCAGTCTGACACAGAATCATAATATTTTAAAAACTCCAAAGCTAGAAATACTTTTGGTCTTTCTAGTAATTTTTTTTTAAATGCACAAAAATGCCCTTGCTTCCCCACTTACATATTAGATTAACGTATGTATTAAACAGGGTATAGTGCCCACTGCATGGAAACCTGCTCAAGTCACACCCTGAGATTACAGACCAATAAGTATTGTCCCAATTTTATCTACTCAGCTAACTGAACATCTAAATAGTGGTCTGACTCCCATCCATCCTCTGCAGTTTGGTTTTAGGAAATGCCATTCAGCCATTTTCTAGAAAACATCAAACATCTCCCAGACCAAGGTGGTTCTGTGGGGGCTGTGTGCCTTGACCTAAAACGTGCATTCGACACCATTGACCATAATGCTCTCCTGGAGTCCCCCAAGGCTCAGTATTGGGGCCACTTTGGTTCACTCTATACGTAAATGATTTACCAACAGTATGTAAGACAGTAACAATACATTTATATGCAGATGACACAGTTCTGTACACTCATGCAAACACAAAAGCAGAGGCAGCAGCAGTCCTCTCTGGGCCATGGTTCAGTGACACCATGGCTCCAAAACTCCTGCCTACTCTTAAATACTAAAACAACTGTTTGCATGTTCTTCTCCCGTCAGCCAGGAGGGAGTGAACAGCCTCTGTTCTGGTCAATGGAGACCAATTAGAGGTGGTCCAACAATTTAAACATCTAGGAGTAATCTTTGATTCACACTTAACTTTCAAAGACCATGTCAAGAAAATATCGAATATTGTTCAATTTAACTTGGAAAACTTCAAACATATAAGGCCTTACTTGACTTTAGAGTCAGCAAAGGTTTACATGTGTCATGGTTTTGACCTGGTTTTATTTTGCTCTATATTATGTTATGTAGTTTGAGTTTGAATCCTGCCTGACCTAATGTGTGTGTCCCTGTGTGTCCCTGTGTGTCCCTGTGTGTCTCTGTGTGTCTCTGTGTGTCCCTGTGTGTCTCTGTGTGTCTCTGTGTGT